GCATTACCCATTGATTATTAAGCTTGGACCAGTGGGGTCCGGTGTTCGGGCCCCACCACGTAAAACCAGTCCCCATGACGTGAGTGGAATCTCAGGTTATGGAACCCACCAGGAGTTGAAAACAAGTGCACACACACACACACACACACACACACACACACACACACACCATGTCTTGTGTGACGCTGCCGTGGCTTATGGGATCCTCCACGGTCAGTCATCTGCTCCATCCTCATCTATTGTGTATGTGGTCAGTGTGGGATATCAGCCTCCAGGGGATAGAATATTGACAAAACACCGGTTGCCATGGTTTTCTCGGAACTTCAGTTGTCATGTCTGTGGTGAATGGTAAAGTATATGTTTGTTTTGTTAGAGATTTTAAGATTTACTATGTCAATATTGCAGAATTCCTCCAATACATTCACAAACCCCTTTTGGAAATGTCTGTGCTGTTAGTCACAAACATATAAGTGGGCAATATCATATTCAAAAGTGTATATGAAAAGATTGTGTTTCATAGTTGTAATAATGTTCTGTTTGAGCACATTTTGGATGAATTGTTATCATAGATACCACAAAAAAATGAAACTAGTTTTGCGTCACCAGCCCTATCCCAACAATGCATTCCATTTTTAAAAGGAGCAGTCTGTAAACATGTGGCCAAAAGTGGTACTGCAGCCTCTCCCACTCTCCCTGACTCAGGTTGCCAGATATGCAGACGAATCCAGCTGGGACCATAACAGCTGAATAGACAAGAGTTTTGTCAACAACAAATCTATAACCAACACCTTTTTCACAAAGATAGAAATCCTGGTTTTATTCCTTGTTTTGTTGATTTGAGAATCATAACGAGACCTTTTTTAGTTCTGCGCCACATGGTACTTTACCAGTGAGATTAGCTCCATGCGGTGAGTTTTGGCGCCCGGATCACAGACTTTCTGATTGGTGAAAGGTGAAATTTGGTGAAAGGGAGTCGTGACATCAAAATGAAAACAATAACAAGATTTAGGGGCTGGAAAAGTAATTTAGAAATTCAAATATCTCTGAACTACTGTTATCAGTTAAAGAAGTATTGTAAAAGAGCAGTTTATTATTATGACAGATTAGGGCCCTTTAATGATGACAGATTAGTGCCCTTTAATGATGACAGATTAGGGCCCTTTAATGATGACAGATTAGGGCGCTTTAGTGATGACAGTTTAGGGCCCTTTAGACTTAACATGAAAATCTAACATACAGTATTGCTACTTTAAAAATGTGTTTCAAAAATAAAATTGAAACACAAAACAAAAGTGTTCTTCCTTAAAATAAACATGATATTGTGAAAAACAGAATATGCTGCCGAATAATGACTCATCTGTCCTTTGTGCGCAAACATAAAGCGAGACAGCAGGGGGCAAAATTGGTCCAGTGTTTCAGAGTAAATGACCTCTCTCCAGCTGTGAAGAAAACACATCAAACCATTCTTCAGGAAAACAACATGATCACAACGTGCGTGAGCTACTTAATGGGTTTTCATGACCAAATTATTGTTTAGTTATGTCCCCCCAGTGCATTTGGACCCAGGCTTTATTAGATCACTGCTCCTGTCAGATTAACACAGGACAGAAGGATTCTGTGGCTCTGAGGACAAGGACAGAATGTGGGTCATAAGCCTTTGTTTTAACTAAATACTCAACAAAGTCTGCATCATCATTAGTGGTTAAGTAACTAGTAAAATAATTATAATAAAGATAATAATTTGACATGATTGTTACATTTTGTCCATGTCATGTTGGAGGCTTTGTGAATGGAAGCGTTAACAGGACAGAGAAGACTGCTTAATGGCTGATGGTTGTGGTTATAACTATAATCAATCTGTAATTATAGATCATACATTATGCAAATTAACTGCAGACAAACTGGGGGTTGTGGACGTACCAGTCGTGTCCTCTTTTGTTCTTTGCAAAATGTCTGTCTTGGAGCGTTTTTAATATTACGGGTGTGAACGAATCTGTGGTTAAGTAGTGCCTCCTTCACTGGACAAACAGCTGCAAACAAACTAAAGCCGGTGCTATGAACATTTCGGGATTTTTTGTGTCACGTACCCAAACGTAACACATTGGTGCAGCTTAGTTTACAGCTCCCACCACCACCAACCATTCACACACACACCAGACTCATTCTACGCAATGTGGGGTGAAGTGTCTTGCCCAAGGACACAACAGCAGTTTGGCACTTTCCAGCCGCAGCCGCCCCACTGTGGCACCTGCTGTTCCCAGAGGTTACGACAACCAACTGAGCTACTGTCACCCCCTTATCTGTAGCCTAATATCCACACAAAACTATTAGTTATAGCATTGATTTTTATCTGTTTTATTTCTGTACTTGTCTGGTGCACACTGGGGACTTTTGCAAATGTATTCCAATGTGGTTTTACTGCAAATGCCAAATACATGAATCTGATTTGAACCGGATCATAAAGCCAACATTCAAAAGTCTCTGAATAGAATCTATCTCACCCACGAGTCCAACAAGTCGAGGCTTACGTGAACAAACATAAACAGGGTTGAATATTGCTTATTACTTTACATCACCACAAACATAAATATTAGCCTTTATCAGTGTGTGCCTCTGATGATTTCCATTCTTTCAGAAGTTTAGACGTTTGTTTTTGACAGCCTTATCCTCTCGGTGTCAGAGAAATAGCTGTAGTTATCTCTGATTCATCTGCGAGGGAGTTTTGTTGAAATGATTGGGCACAGAGTTTAAATGCCAACACCGCGCATTGAGATAATTTTAGCGACATTTGCCAAGAACGGAGGAGTTGGAGGTGCAAAGGACTCAGCAGAGTAATCTCACCCAGGTTTGGATCAGTCTGGGCGGACGCATTTTCCATTATCTAAGAACAACAATCATCAACACCTTACACAAAGTAGTAACAAGCACATCAGAATGTCATCTTTCACTTTAGTAACAATGGCGGAGTAGTTATGATGATGTCGCTCACATTCCTGCTTCTTGTACGTTTATGTGAACAGTGGAGAGAGCTGATAGGAAGTGAAGAGAACTACACAGGACTTGTTATTAGAGCAGAGTTTACAGACCTGATATTTCTGAGTTCATAAAGGAATGGGACACATTTATTGTCAAAATGTGTTGGACGGGTTAAAAGACTTACTCACTGACTGCTATTGACGTATTTGTCTGAGACCCTCTATTCGACCGGGGATTACAGGACAATAAAAGTAGCTAGAAACAAACTTATTTTTGCTGATGAAAGTAGACAATCCAGTCTTTCAGAATCTGGTTTCATATTTCACATAGTTTTAGGAAATAATATTCTGTGGGTCTTGAGAATCAGTTAAAACATCAAAAACGGCTGCCAGTCAATGAGTTAAATCATTGGTTATTGTTGTTTATCAGATTTGTTTTGCCCCATCAAGTAATGATAAAGCGTTATTTAAAGGTGGCAAAATTTGCTTTTCTTCATTTTTTACACAGAGGAAAGCGTTAGCGTCTTTTATGTTGGAATAACACCAGGTTTCCAAATCAGCTTTGAGTAAGTCCCATTTCAAAGTAACTGTAGTTCTGGAACAGTCTTTGGTGGTGTCACCGTCACTCACTTGTTGTGGTTTTCAGACTCGTAGATTCGAGGCAAATCCCTGTGAACAAAGTCCCCATTCTCCGTCTTTGACCAAATACTCTCGTCACATATTTACACCAACATCACATTTTCTCCAAGTCACATGAAGCTAACACAAAAAGCACAGACGCTTATTTACTGTCTGTGGAGCAGACGCTGGACTCGGAGGCTGCAGTTGACCATAGACGGCGCTGATTCGCTGGTTCAGTTTATCCACCTGTCAATCACCTCCTGGAGGCGGGCTTTTGACGTCACGGATTGGTGCACGTGACAATTTTAATCAAGACGTTTCTGTGCCTCTCAAGAATGAAAGAAAGATCGCTCTCTAACTACAGCTTGACGGAATCAATGAAAAAACTACTCTGGGAAGATAAGTCAAAAAGCGTAAAATGGGACCTTTAAAAACACAATTTATACATTTTAGAAGGTGCGTTTAACAGTCCAGAAAGTACTGTCTTCGGGAAATATTGTGTACAAGCCCTCATCAAACATTCAGTGTTGCCCGATTCACGATTTGCAATAGACTTTAATGAGAAATCACAGAGAAGATGCTACAACAAGAAAACAATGTGCGGCTAATGAGGCATTTACAGGACGCGGTGATTGCTGAAGTGGATCTATAACATGTGGCTGTATTCACTGGGATTAAGGGCTGCGAGTTGTTATCAGTGAAAACACTTATCCCCTAAACATATTCTCAGGGAGATTAAATAGAAGCAATGAAGCATATTTGTGTTGTGCAAAATATTCATAAACAGATCGCAGATGGAAGGAGGACAGCCCTGTGTGTGATCCAATGTGTGAGGATAAAAAGCTGAAATGTCGCTTCTCGACTGACAAGCCGGAGCTGCAACTAGTCCATTTTATGTTTGGAGCTGTAGAATAGAGTTCACATTTGTCTGGTCGAGTGGATTAGTAAACTCAGAAGAAAAAGTGGCAGTTCTCATCGCTCGGCAGGTCTGTTTAGAAAGAAGTGAACTGTCTGAGGTGACCAGTGACCGCTTTTTTGGTGCCGTCCGATTTCTATGAAAGAATCATAATTTTATCTAAGTGCAGCAGAGTTTGGTGCACAAAAAGATACGTTTTTATTATCAATATTATACGTTATCGCGTAGACTGCTACACATTCTTTCCAACTAAAGCACTGAGTCATTATTGGGTTTTTGGGGCAATACACTGTGATTTTGTGTGTGAAAAATGTCTGTGCTTTTGGCCTTCATGCATGTGAATACTAATGATGTAATAAACTGTGACAGTGAGAACAAAAGGGATATAATTCAGACTGGAACATTCCTATCGTTCTTTATCATCACAGAAATTATCACGTAACTTTTCTTATAGGTTTGAAAGTCCGATAATACTTTCAAATCATACATTAGGGGAAATGGGACATAATGTAGCAGAATATTGTTGTATTAATGAGCACATCATTTGTTGCAGTTTGGAGCCGAGGGTCAGACAAAGACATCTGGAGGTGAATCCATTTCCAGAGTCTGTGTAAAAAGTGATGAAGCAGCAGTCTGTGGATCTGAAGGTGGTGCTCTCCGTCTGCAGCCCGAACCAAGCAGGGTCTGTGGATCTGAAGGTGGTGCTCTCCGTCCTGAGCCCCGAACCAAGCAGGGTCTGTGGGTCTGAAGGTGATGCTCTCCATCTGCAGCCCGAACCAAGCAGGGTCTGTGGATCTGAAGGTGGTGCTCTCCGTCTGCAGCCCAAACCAAGCAGGGTCTGTGGGTCTGTGGGTCTGAAGGTGGTGCTCTCCGTCTGCAGCCCGAACCAAGCAGGGTCTGTGGATCTGAAGGTGGTGCTCTCCGTCTGCAGCCCGAACCAAGCAGGGTCTGTGGATCTGAAGGTGGTGCTCTCCGTCCTGAGCCCCGAACCAAGCAGGGTCTGTGGGTCTGAAGGTGGTGCTCTCCGTCTGCAGCCCGAACCAAGCAGGGTCTGTGGGTCTGAAGGTGGTGCTCTCCGTCTGCAGCAGCCCGAACCAAGCAGGGTCTGTGGGTCTGAAGGTGGTGCTCTCCGTCTGCAGCCCGAACCAAGCAGGGTCTGTGGATCTGAAGGTGGTGCTCTCCGTCTGCAGCCCGAACCAAGCAGGGTCTGTGGATCTGAAGGTGGTGCTCTCCGTCTGCAGCCCGAACCAAGCAGGGTCTGTGGGTCTGAAGGTGGTGCTCTCCGTCTGCAGCCCGAACCAAGCAGGGTCTGTGGGTCTGTGGGTCTGAAGGTGGTGCTCTCCGTCTGCAGCCCGAACCAAGCAGGGTCTGTGGATCTGAAGGTGGTGCTCTCCGTCTGCAGCCCGAACCAAGCAGGGTCTGTGGATCTGAAGGTGATGCTCTCCGTCTGCAGCCCGAACCAAGCAGGGTCTGTGGATCTGAAGGTGGTGCTCTCCGTCTGCAGCCCGAACCAAGCAGGGTCTGTGGATCTGAAGGTGGTGCTCTCCGTCTGCAGCCCGAACCAAGCAGGGTCTGTGGATCTGAAGGTGGTGCTCTCCGTCTGCAGCCCGAACCAAGCAGGGTCTGTGGGTCTGAAGGTGGTGAAGGTGGTGCTCTCCGTCCTGAGCCCCGAACCAAGCAGGGTCTGTGGGTCTGAAGGTGGTGCTCTCCGTCTGCAGCCCGAACCAAGCAGGGTCTGTGGATCTGAAGGTGGTGCTCTCCGTCCTGAGCCCCGAACCAAGCAGGGTCTGTGGATCTGAAGGTGGTGCTCTCCGTCTGCAGCCCGAACCAAGCAGGGTCTGTGGGTCTGAAGGTGGTGCTCTCCGTCTGCAGCCCGAACCAAGCAGGGTCTGTGGGTCTGAAGGTGGTGCTCTCCGTCTGCAGCCCGAACCAATCAATCAATCAATCAATCAAAGTTTATTTATAAAGCGCTTTTTCATACAACAGATGCAACACAAAGTGCTTTACAGTTTGGCTAAAAAACAATCCTGCCCATGCCCTCCCCCCGACCGCCCAACAGACCCTCCCCAGACCACAAGCAAACACCCCCCCCCCACACACACACGCGCACACACACACGCACCGATAAAACAATAAAACGACGATAAGAGACTTGGCAGGGTTCAGATGCAACCGGCTGAAGAAACGCCATCCAAGGAGCCGTCAGCGCCAGGAGCAGAGAGCCGCCCATAGCCAAAGGGGACGACACAGGACCCAGAGGAGACCCAAAACCGAGGCCCCGGGCCCCCACCAGGTCCAAGAGTCCGACCCCCACAGCCACAGCCAACCACCGCTCCCAGCACAGAGGGCTCCTCCAGAGGGCTCCTCCAGAGGAAACACTGGGGATACTTAAAAACAATACAATAAGTAAAACACTAAAATGTGAGCCTGAGAGGAACTATCACACAAAACATGAATAAAAGCAATAGCAATATAATAAATAATAAAGGATAAATAGAATATATAAAAATGGACTAATAAATACTAATCAAAAGCTAATCTAAAAAGGTGTGTCTTGAGCCTGGCTTTAAAAATATGAATGTTCTCTGCGACCCTGAGCTCCTCCGGCAGACTGTTCCAGAGACGGGGGCCGTAGTGCTGGAAAGATGCCTCGCCGTGAGTGTGTGTCCTGACTTTGGGGATGGTTAGGAGTCTGCTGCCGGAGGAGCGCAGGGGCCGGGAAGGTTCATAGGATAAAAGCAGTTCTGAAAGATAAGAAGGCCCAAGACCATTAAGACATTTGAAAACCATTAAAAGAACCTTAAAATCAATCCTGAAACACACGGGGAGCCAATGCAGCGATTTTAAAACCGGTGTAATGTGGTCCCGCCCCCTGGTCTTAGTCAGGACACGTGCGGCCGAGTTTTGAAGTAATTGTAAACCTGAAATGTTCTTTTTGGGAAGACCAGAGAGCAGGGCATTACAGTAGTCAATGCGACTGGTGATAAAAGCATGCATCAGCGTCTCCGTGTTGGCCCGAGAGAGAATGGGGCGGACTCTGGCGATGTTCTTCAAATGATAAAAACCTATTTTTGTTATATTCTTAATGTGAGGAATAAAAGTCAGCTCAGAGTCAAAGATTACGCCCAGGTTTTTCACTTGTGATGATGGATTAAAAGAGTGTGATTGGAGTTTTGGTAAAAGTTTCTCTCTCTGGGCCTCAGGACCGATGACTAAAACCTCAGTTTTGTCCTGGTTGAGCTGGAGAAAGTTTTCTGCCATCCAGGATTTCAGGTCTAAAATGCAGTTAAAAAGAGCATCCATTGGCCTGGTGTCGTCAGGAGACATGGAGATGTACAGCTGTGTATCATCTGCATAACTGTGGAAGTTAATTCCATGCCTCCTGATGACACCGCCAAGAGGGAGCATGTACAGGTTAAAAAGGACTGGACCTAAAATGGAACCCTGGGGCACACCACATGTGATTTTATGGACCTGAGAGGAGCAGGTATCCAAACTTACCATGAAGGATCGGTCTGTCAAATAAGAAGTGAACCATTTGTGGACAGCACCAGAGAGGCCGAGGTGTTTCAGGCGGGATAAAAGAATGGTGTGGTCTACTGTGTCGAAGGCAGCGCTAAGATCCAGTAGAACCAACACAGTCACCTTTTTAGAATCATAATTTAATCTAAAATCATTTAAAATCTTTAAAAGAGCCGTCTCTGTGCTGTGGTTCACCCTAAAACCTGATTGAAATGTCTCTAAAATTTGCTGTTGATCTAAAAAGGCATTGAGCTGGGTAAAAACAAGTTTTTCTAAAATTTTGCTTAAAAATGGTAAGTTGGACACCGGTCTGTAGTTGTTAAGATCATTAAAATCTAAATTGCTCTTCTTCAGAAGGGGTCTCACCACAGCCGCTTTGAAGGCTGCAGGAAAGACCCCAGTCTGAAGAGAGCAATTCATCAGGTTTAAAAGCTCCTCTCTAAAAGATTCATAAAATGACTTAAAAAATGGAGTGGGGACTGGATCTAAAAGACATGTGGTGGGCCTCACTGAGGAGAAAACTTTATCAAGCATCTCAGCATCAACCAGGACAAAACTGTCCAGTGTTTCCTCTGGCGAAGACAAACAATCAGATGTGTTAAAAACAGTAGTACAATTGGATAAAATGTTACATCTGATTGTGTTTATCTTCCCCATGAAGTGGACTGCAAAATCCTCACAGAGGGAGTCTGTGAGGGTTAAACGAGACATGCTAAAATCAGGGTTTAAAATGGTGTCAATGGTTGAAAATAGGACTTTCGCATTGTTTTTGTTTTGGGTGATTAGTTTTGAGAAATAATTGTTTCGGTTTTTCCTAATTGTTTTGTTGTATGTTTTTTGTTGGTTACTGTACATTTCGTAATTGATTGTTGTTTTGTTTTTCCTCCACCTACGTTCCGCCACCCTGCACTCTCTTTTCATTCTCCTTACTTCTTCGTTCCTCCATGGGGGTACAGATTTTGTTCCGGTAGTTTTTGTTTTCAAAGGAGCAACCTGATCTAACGTAGTTTTGAGTCTACTGTTAAAATCATTTGCTAACAGATCACAGGGGGCGGGTAAAACCAAGTGAGGAGTGTTATTAAGAATGTCTATAAAATTTGCAGCCACTTCAGGGGTTAGATGTCGCTTCCTCACGGTTCTCACAGAGGTCTCACGCTGGATAAAACCAGTGATGTTAAAAAACACGCAGTAGTGGTCAGAGACAGCCAGGTCGACAACAGAGGACACATCCGCAGTCAAGCCATAAGTAATGACCAGGTCGAGGGTGCGTCCTCTGTCGTGCGTTGGCTGTGTGACGTGTTGGGTAAAATCCATGTAATTAAGGACATTTAAGAACTCATTGGAAAAATTATCTGAGGGATTGTTGATGTGTATGTTAAAATCACCGGTTAGAAGAATCATATCATAAGAATTGTATATAACTGATAAAAACTCTGAGAATTCCTTAATAAAACGGCAGCACCTCTTTGGTGGCCTATAAATTATGACTGCTAAAATTTTGGGGTTGCTAAAAACAAGAGAAAGATATTCAAAACTTGAGTATTGGTTAAAAGTGATAGGTTTGGTGGCAAGAGTGTTAGTGCATAGTGAGGCTGTGCCACCGCCCCTTTTCCCTTCTCTTGTGGTAAAAGCAAAGCTAAAATTTGGGGGAGAGGCCTCTGTGAGAATAGCCGATGCATCTGAACCAAGCCAGGTCTCAGTTAAGAACATAACATCCAGGTTTTTTTCTAAAATAAGATCATGAATGATAAAAGTCTTGTTTAAAAGAGAACGTACATTTAAAAGAGCTAGGCTTATGGTTAAAAGAGGTGTTGGCGGTGTACCTTTTGAGGCAGATTTATTTTTTGCAAGTTCAGAGTTCAAAGGGACGTGGTGAGGAGCAGAGGACGTGGAAGGAGGGAGGGCAACAGGGATGAGGTTGGTGAGACATGGTTTCCTGGAACTGGAGGGTCTGTAGGGACGGGGTCTGGATATGGCTGGGATCTTGTGCTGGGGAGAAGAGGGGCTGGTGTTGAGGGGTGACGAAGCAGGTGAGATGGGGGATGCGGTAGTGGGTTGTCAGAAATATATGGAGCGGGATTGAACTGTGTGGATGATGTTGGAAGTGAGGTACCGGTTGCCAAGGGGGGTGATATGAAGTCCATCTCGTTGGAAGAAGAGGGGGCGGTCCCAGAACAGATTAAAATTGTCTATAAAAGCAAAGTTGTGTTGGAGTGACGAATGATTGAGCCAGGTGTTAAGTGATAAAATTCTGCTAAAACGCTCCCCGCCACGGGCCAGAGTGGGCAGAGGGCCAGAGATAAAAACAGTTTTTCCAGTCTCTGATAGCAGTTTAAAAAGGTCCTGAAAATGGAGTTTTGTGTTCTCAGACTGGCGGAGTGATGTATCGTTGGTACCAACATGGACGATGATCCGGGTTATTGTGCTTGGGGCAGTTTGGAGAAGTTTAGGAAGTGTATGAAGTAGAGTGGTGACTGTGGCTCCGGGAAAGCAGTGCGTGGTGGCGTTAAAAAACCTACATCTACGGATGATGGAGTCACCCACCAGCAGTGTTGTGGGAGCGAAGAGGGGTCGTGGAGGGTGTGATGTGACAGGCACCTGTGGAGGGGCTGGGGGTGAGAGGGGTACAGAGGGGCCCTGGGGTGTGCCCGGAGCTGAGTCCCCATGAGCGGCAGTGGAGCAGCATGGAGGACCCGGAGACGGATGTTTTGTTGGAGCCGGGGCGACCATATTGGCCGTGGTGGTGGCAGTAGTGGTGGTGGTGGCGGGCGTGGGAGGGACCAGCGCAGGGCTGGAGGGGTGCCCAACAGGCGGAACGGCTTTCACGTGCACGGGAGGTCTCCTCACTGCGTCAGAGCGCTGAGACCTCCCCGCGGGTGAGGCAGCGTTCGCGGGGGGGGCCCGCGCCTCGTCAGAGCGTGGAGACCCCCCCCGGATGGGGCAGCGTTCACGGGGGGCCTCGGCGCTGCGTCAGAGCGCCGAGGCCTCCCCGCGGGTACCTGGGCATAAGCCGCGCTGTCAGGACTCCCCTCCGCGTCAGAGCGCACAGACCCTCCCACACCAGAGATAGCAGCCCCGGGGACAGCCCGCGCGGGGTCACCGCGAGGAAATCCCCCCGGGGCTGCCCCACCGCTCACATTAGGCACAGCACTCGGGAGCTCCCCCGCTGTGTCAAAGCGCGGGAAGCTCCCGGAGTGTCTGCGGACTGCCTCCACCACTAACCTGCGACGGGATGTCGATGTTGTCACCCCGGGGTCTCCAGGCCTCTGCTCCGCGCCGCTCTGGGAAGCGGGCTCCGGGCCTATCGGCGGGGAGAGAGCGTCGGGGGGGTCAGACGTGCAGGGGCCAGCAGGAGCAGCCGCCACCGGGAAGCGTGAGGTAAGAAGCGGGGTAGAGCAGGAGGACGGGTGGGGGCACAAGATTGGGTCCCAGAGTGCGGTGTCCTGAAGTGTGGATGCGTGCTGAGAGTGTCTGATTGCGGATAGTGATATGTGTTGTGATTGTCTAAATGCAATGTCCATAAAATATTCGAGCAGTTTTTCTTTGTGTCTGAGTTCCGTTGAGAGTTTGGAGATGTTGAGTTGAAGTTCCTCAGGCGTCATTGTGTGTGGTGGTTTTGTTGGGAGCATTGCAGTGAGTTGTGATTTGTAGATCTCCTTGTATATGTTTGGTGGAGGCGGTGCTGTATCCATGGTAGCAGTTTCCCGCTGGTGGCTGTTAAAAGCTCAATATTTAGTCCAGATGGGAATGACAGCAGTCCTGGTTGCAAATAGCTGTTAAAATCCACCTAATCCTACGATAACGCTTGATAAAACTAGAGTTAAAAGCTTGGTTAAAAAAAATAACTTGCAAAAGTATAGAGCTGTGAGAAGACTCTAGACAAACGCGTCCGCCATTGTCACGCATGCGCACAGTAACAGCTCATAGCTCCCATAGCCACGCACTGGCAAGAGAGTTCATTCCATCCACACAAAACCTTCAGACCCACAGACCAAGCAGGGTCTGTGGGTCTGAAGGTGGTGCTCTCCGTCTGCAGCCCGAACCAAGCAGGGTCTGTGGGTCTGAAGGTGGTGCTCTCCGTCCTGAGCCCCGAACCAAGCAGGGTCTGTGGGTCTGAAGGTGGTGCTCTCCGTCTGCAGCCCGAACCAAGCAGGGTCTGTGGGTCTGAAGGTGGTGTAAGTAATTAGTAAGTAATCTTTATTTATATACCGCCTTTTCATCGGAGTCTCAAAGCGGTTTACAATTGTTATTTTTGGGAGCGGGGTCGCCAGTACAGGAGGCACATGCCAGACCTATTGTACATATTTTTAGTGGTAGGGGAAACCGGGGCACCCGGAGGAAACCTACGCAGTCACTGGGAGAACATGCAAACTCCACTCAGAAAGGTCCTGGTCCAACCGGGATTTGAACCAGGACCTTCTTGCTGAGAGGCGAGAGTGCTATCCACTCAGCCACCGTGCCGCCACGGGCTGCAGCCGTGGTGCTCTCCGTCTGCAGCCCGAACCAAGCAGGGTCTGTGGGTCTAACCTGCTCGCAACTCTACCCTCATTATATAACGCATTCTTATTTGCATTCACCAAGTGTAGTCGTATGGGACTTTATATAACAGCAGTATGTGTACTTCCACATTGGCGAACACGCTCAAAGCACAGAGTCCCCCATTGTCAATCCTGGTTTAGTCCTGGTTTAAGTAAGTAAGTAAGTAATCTTTATTTATATACCGCCTTTCACAGACCAGAGTCTCAAAGCGGTTTACAATTGTTATTATTTTTGGGCACTTGTCTCTCACTCCACACAGAGATGGGAGCGGGGTCGCCGAACAGGAGGCACATGCCAGACCTATTGTTCATGTTTTTAGTGGTAGGGGAAACCGGAGGAAACCTACGCAGACACGGGGAGAACATGCAAACTCCACTCAGAAAGGCCCTGGTTTAGTCCTGGTTTAGTCCTGGTTTAGTCCTGGTTAAGTCCTGGTCCAGCATGATCCGGTGTGAATGCGGCTTTAGAATGCACGCGGTGAGTTCTGGCGCCCGGATAACAGACTTTCTGATTGGTAAAACTAAAACTAAACTCAGAAATACGTTATGATTCTCTCTGTATTATTAATCAAAAAACATAAATGTATTTCTTATTAATGATATCATTTTAGAAACAGGAGCCTTAAACAAATGGTTTATTGTACATTACTGAAACGTCTCAGAGACAGTCAGAGCTTCACACACGTGGAATCAGTGGATCCGCAGGTCTTCGGAGATGAGTTCATCTGAAAGTTCAAAGTCATTTACTCCAAGAGTTTAATCACATTTTCATTTACTGAACAATGAGCTGGAGGCGTCGCGGGCCCTGAACCCGGAGAGGCAGCGGAAAGCCCTCGCACCAACTCCATACCATCTTCACTGCTGGTTCTCGACAGATTACACCGATGATGTCATTCCCTCATTATTAATCCATGTTACATGTCAGCCTTTCCTCTGATTGGTTCATTTTGTTTTCGGATCCGTTTTTCTGGTCACTGACCGATACTCAACCGATGGCGAGCTGGAAGATAGACTTTATGTTTTCCGTTTCAAAGTTCTTGGATTATGGATTCAAAGTTTAAAACCCATTTCCTTATTTAAGAATAGATTGACTGACAATTTGCATACGTGGATTAAAAAACCAAACAATACATTAAAAACTATTTCCTCAAAACGGATAAAAAACTGACAGCTTTGAGCGTCAAACTGTGCATCAATAACAATTGGTTATTTTTGTTTCATAATTTTAGCTATTTTTATTTTTTGTCCATTTTGCATTTTAAACTTGAATTAAGCTTATTATTTTTAATATTTGAATAATTGATTTAAAACGTTAATTAATTCTTTCCCTTTGTGTTTATAATTCATTGTGTCTGTGTTTTTCATTTACCACCCTCAAGTTCCCGAAGCGGATTGAACTTCTGTGTTTAAACGATTCCGAGAGATTTGCAAAAAACATCTAACATCAGCATCTAAGCTTTTATGGTGTTATTGACTTGAACTTGACTGGGAACAAGAACGTCACCCTGCGTCCAAATAAATAAATGTTTCTTCTTCCTTGTCCTACCCTCTCATTTGTTTTGACCTTTCGTGGGAGACAAGTGACCAAAAAACATCTTTAAACACCTTTAAATAGTCTTAAATGTCACTTGATCTAAAAGGATCAATCAAAGGTCAGTTGTGAAGTACACGAAAAGGAAAAGGAGAGATTCTTGTGAGAGCAGCCAAAGGTTAAAGAAAAATCCAAGATGGCCGCCGCAGCAATGTCTAATTCATCAGGATGTCTTTATGCCAACTCTAATATATATACATTGTTATTGATTGTATGGTTTGTGTGCTTCCTGTGTCTTCTCACTATTGTATTTGCGTTGCAACATTGACATTTCCCTACTGTGGCATGAATAAAGGTTCTTTATCTTTTATCAAATGCACAATAAAAAAGTCATAGTCAGACACCAAAATACAGAATTACAAAAAAAATCTAAAAAATAATACGGGCAATTACAGACATTGTTTTAAAATTCAGGTTTGTAGGAGTAAAGCTGTTGTTAGAAACAGTCGAGGGCATGTGCACGTTTAGTTTGGTCGTACCACACCATAACAGGTGGGAGGGGTTAACTCCTTTTGCAGATTGAAAAAGATTGGATATGAGTTTACCGTCACGTTTGTAATGCGCCCGGGTGAGTCGTTAGCTTTAGCATTTAGCCTAGCTTTAGCCATCTCCTTTGCCGCTAACGGAGCCCGTGGGGAGTAGCGCCACAATCTTTGCAGCGATTACATTTGCTAAACATTCCTCTTGATAGAACCACGACAAAATACTTTACTATCGCATTCTTCACCAAACTACAACCTGCCCGTTTGGCGCAAACTCTTGACGTCACCCACAACTAACTACAACACCCGCCTCCCGCGCTCTCTGATTGGTCGGATGGAATTCAACCGATTGTAATCACAAACACAGGGACCAGACCCAGACGTTACACGCAGGAAATGATGATTGAGCGGAGAGTACGGATGGATAAGACCAGGGTAGTGCACCACCATTTCTGGCTCACACACAGATGGAACAGAGATCTTTATGTATTTGAAAATGAATATTGTTTACACACATGTATAAAGTCTGTTTCAATGTTAACGGATGACAGTGTGACATTTGCCATGTTTGGAGCCTCATTAAATAAGATTTGTTCGAAAAGGTGAAGGTGATAAGGTCAGTGTAAACTTGTCGTGCGAGTCCGAGGCCACAAGTCTGTAAGTGTATCCAACATCTACATGCGGAGAACGTGAGAAATCATAAAAATAACATTATGAGGCGACAGTAGCTCAGTTGTAGAGCATTGGTTTTTGAGCCTGAAGGTTCAATGTGTTTGGTTGAAATGCTTTTGTTGGTCTAATGTTGATTTCTGTTTTTGACACTTACACTGTATATAACACCTGGGGATTTATTATTGTTTCTTTGCACTGATATTTTTAGCACTTGTCTAAATGTTATGTGTCTGTCTTGTCCATACATTAATTTAAATACAAACTTGCCACCAAAAAGCAGATCTCCAGCCTCTGCCTCTCTCTCTGCGAGTCGCACCAGTCTTCTGAGATCTAGACTAAAGACCACCTTAAAGAAATATAGTGCAGTACATACCTGTTAGACGTGGGTTCGAGTCCACCTCAAGACTTTCTCCACCGACTCCCACTGATGTCTGCTGTCGTTGTGTCCTTGGGCAAGACACTTCACCCACATTATAATGAGTCTGGTGTGTGTGTGAGTGGTTGGTGGTGGTGGGAGGGGCTGAAGGCACGGACTGGTTGCACTAAAATTCCAGCGATGATTGACTTGACTTCACACAGATGATCGATTGTGTGTCAAATTACAAATGGTTTTTTTGTGAAAATAAATTGCGAGCACACATTTTCTATTGCAAACATAGAAAGCTGGATTATCCTTTGTGTTCTTAATTCCTCAAAGATTTCCTCTTATTTCCAGGAAACATCTGTGTGAATCTCACAAGACACAGACTTCTTTCCAAACACAGCAGAGGAAGCGGCTCCCTCTGCATCCGGCGTTTGCCAATTTCCAGTTTGAGGCTCCAGATGAATCGACGATGTCTGTGACGGAGGCGGCACACGAACCAAAGCAGGTTTCTCCAAACACCGAGACGCAAGAAATCCCCCGTAAGACTGAGGACTGCGGCTCGGGCTGTTCTGAGGTTTAAAACTGAGGACTGCGGCCCGGGCTGTTCTGAGGTTTAAGACTGAGGACCGCGGCTCGGGCTGTTCTGAGGTTTAAGACTGAGGACCGCGGCTCGGGCTGTTCTGAGGTTTAAGACTGAGGACCGCGGCTCGGGCTGTTCTGAGGTTTAAGACTGAGGACCGCGGCTCGGGCTGTTCTGAGGTTTAAGACTGAGGACCGCGGCTCGGGCTGTTCTGAGGTTTAAGACTGAGGACTGCGGCTCGGGCTGTTCCTGAGGTTTAAGACTGAGGACTGCGGCTCGGGCTGTTCTGAGGTCTAAAATTAAAACATAGTTACTTTCTATGTACTTACTTGTTACTTACAAGTTACTACTTAAGATTACAGCGGCCAAAATGTAAGTAAAAAAAAAGATCCCAATCAACAATAAACTAAAAAGGAACTGAAGTTGAAAGTACTTTCTAACCCGGTAAACACAAAATAGTTAAAACTGTTCCAATCTATTAAATACACTTTATCAAACATCTGTAATTTACAACACAAAAAAAGGTCACTTTGACAACGTTTCATCCCAAAGTGTTACAATTATCACATCTCAAAACCACTTCATAAATCAGTAGCACAGTCTCTGCAGAATCAGAAAAACTGAAGTGTCTTCCACAGGCTCCAGTCACATGTTCCTAAACACAGAAACGACTGATGCTACTTTGGGTTCGTGAAGCTTCCATTGTTCACATTCTGCTTCGAAGTATTATATTCCTGTGATAATTTATTTAAAACCTGTAAAACCAGACGGAGTTCAGTCTGTAGCTGAGTGAGAAGAGGAAGAAGGTAGTGAGAAAACAAAATAATCTAAATTCAATCAAACTGGGATTCTGTCTGATATTCCATGAACTGAGCAGAACTAATTTGTTATCGAACACAACAACATTCTTAATCCGACAGAAATGCCCTTTTGAAAAGTGCATCTGACGCAGTGACATTTGTCTCGCCCAAAATGTTTTAGTTTGTTTCCAAATCTGGCAATATAATTTAAAAACAGATCAGTAACGGTGGAAAGTTTTTGATGTGTCTTCAGAACCCATCCATGTTTTTATTGTTCATAACGTCTGAGTCAAACATGGCTCCCACACTACAGCTGCAGAGGACACTACAGCTGCAGAGGACACTACAGCTGCAGAGGACGCTACAGCTGCAGAGGACGCTACAGCTGCAGAGGACGCTACAGCTGCAGAGGACGCTACAGCTGCAGATGACGTTACAGCTGCAGAGGACGCTACAGCTGCAGAGGACGCTACAGCTGCAGAGGACGCTACAGCTGCAGAGGACGCTACAGCTGCAGAGGACACTACAGCTGCAGAGGACGCTACAGCTGCAGAGGACGCTACAGCTGCAGATGACGTTACAGCTGCAGAGGACGCTACAGCTGCAGAGGACGCTACAGCTGCAGAGGACACTACAGCTGCAGAGGACACTACAGCCGCAGAGGACACTACAGCCGCAGAGGACTCTACAGCCGCAGAGGACGCTACAGCCGCAGAGAAGGCTACAGCTGCAGAGGACGCTACAGCTGCAGAGGACACTATTGCTGCAACAGGACACTACAGCTGCAGAGGACACTACAGCTGCAGAGGACACTACAGCTGCAGAGGACACTACAGCTGCACAGGACACTACAGCTGCACAGGACACTACAGCTGCACAGGACACTACAGCTGCACAGGACACTACAGCTGCAGAGGACACTACAGCTGCAGAGGACGCTACAGCTGCAGAGGACGCTACAGCTGCAGAGGACACTACAGCTGCAGAGGACGCTACAGCTGCAGAGGACGCTACAGCTGCAGATGACGTTACAGCTGTAGAGGACGCTACAGCTGCAGAGGACGCTACAGCTGCAGAGGACACTACAGCTGCAGAGGACACTACAGCCGCAGAGGACACTACAGCCGCAGAGGACTCTACAGCCGCAGTGGACGCTACAGCCGCAGAGGAGGCTACAGCTGCAGAGGACGCTACAGCTGCAGAGGACACTATTGCTGCAACAGGACACTACAGCTGCAGAGGACACTACAGCTGCAGAGGACACTACAGCTGCAGAGGACACTACAGCTGCACAGGACACTACAGCTGCACAGGACACTACAGCTGCACAGGACACTACAGCTGCAGAGGAGCAGGAGCAGGACTGAGGGCTACAAGAAGTCGTCAGCTGTCAGTCACACCAACATCATCATCATCAATTCTTTTGTTCTTTTGGATGGATGTGTTTCTGCTGCTGCTGGACTCCTGCCTTTCTCCTACAGGGAGCAACAAAGTATCTATTTGTTCATCTATCTCTATCTCTATCTCTCCCTTATCTCGACCTCTATCTCTACCTCTAGCTCTACCTATATCTCTATCTCTACCGCTACCACTACCTCCATCTCCATCTCTATCTCGACCTCTATCTCGACCTCTATCTCTATCTCTATCTCGACCTCTATCTCGACCTCTATCTCTACCTCTATCTCGACCTCTATCTCTACCTCTCCCTCTATCTCAACCTCTCCCTCTATCTCGACCTCTCCCTCTATCTCTACCTCTCCCTCTATCTCTATCTCGACCTCTATCTCAACCTCTATCTCGACCTCTACCTCTCCCTCGACCTCTATCTCTACCTCTAACTCGACCTCTATCTCTACTTCTAACTCGACCTCTATCTCTATCTCTATCTCTACCTCTACCTCTACCTCATCTCTACCTCTACCTCATCTCTATCTCTACCTCTACCTCTATCTCTACCTCTACCTCATCTCTACCTCATCTCTATCTCTACCTCTACCTCTACCTCTATCTCTACCTCTCCCTCTATCTCTACCTCTCCCTCTATCTCTATCTCGACCTCTACCTCTCCCTCGACCTCTATCTCTACCTCTACCTCTAACTCTAGCTTGGGCTCTCTCTCTCTTTCTCTCCCTCATCTCTATCTCTATCTCTACAACACAGACTTACATAAAGCACCACTTATTGCCTGGAGATGATTATTGCATTTTCTAACACTGAATTAAACGTAATAAAACTTCCATTATGATTGTTCATTTACCAGATATGGTGATGGCGAAGGTGTTGCATTCCCTGACCCCACTCACTGCCTGAACTACAACACTGTTTGCTAATCTGCAAAAAAGACACAACTAATTACATAGCTTGAGCAACAATGTGGTTTCAACGCTAATTAACTATTGTTTATAAAGCCATAAACCCATTATTGCTGTGTTAATGACGCCAGTTTGAGAAGAGTTCACACAACATATTCTGCTTCTCAATTCCTACACTTCCATCTAAACAAGAAAACAATAACCTCTGGGCCAAAGGATGATGGAAGGAATAGTGTGGGTCAGCGACAGGTGCGATGAGGGTTCAATGCAGAGGCCTTTGAGACAGAGATAAAAGCGGGAAAAAGGCTGTTGGGCTCTTTTAGGTTAATTGTATGTGACATTTATTCCAGCCTTGTGTTTCCCTCTGCCAGGTTTGATGAGAGATGACAGCACGAGGTGTTGAGCTGGGTGCTGATGAGGGGAGGGGAGGGTAGGGATACATATGTGCCTTGATCCGGTATGAATGCTCCACGTTCAGCTGGTTTGCATTTTCTTCTGGTGATTGTGGGGGAGGCAGGTTTAAGATCAGAAGTCTATCAGCGGCAAGTAGGAGGGGAGAATGTAAACCGACGCAGCTTGAGAATGTGCTGCGTGTGTCTGATTAGGCTGCCGCTGTTATTGAAA